CCCCCAAAACCCCAAAACCCCAAAACCCCGATTTAAATAATTTAAATTGTTATTCAAGAATTAGCAATATTTTAAATGGTTAACAAGAAAGGAGACTCCAAAACCAGGAAGAAAAAGACAAAAAAGCCTATAGGAAGTAAACTAAAATGCTTAGCAGACTTAAGAGAAAACAAGAGGTTGTTAAATAAGAGTACCAAGAGCACAGCGAATTTGTTACAAAGTTGTAGAGTACCTCCTCATTCGATAAAAGAAGGAAAGAACAAATAGAAAGATAACATCAAGTAAGAGAAAATCCATCAAAAACAAGAAAGAATTTCAATTCCAGACCTTCAATGAATCAAAGTATCCTAATTTATTCAGAGAATCAGGCAATTTTTCAAATGGTACTTTTCAATCAAAGGAGAACAGAAAAATGTTCAGTAATACTGCAGTTAGTGAGGAGTCAAACTTTCTCAAGAATGTTCGACCTCCTAAATCTCCAACGATCAACAACTTCCTTCTGTCAACTCAGTCAGATCTGAACGAGGAGGTCTACCAAAATTCTGAGACCACCCGAACCCTGAACTTAGACCTGCAAAAATCCCTGAGGAGAGATTCCAGCAAAGACTCTTGGCTTGCCAGGTCTCAATCTGGCTTGGAGATACAACAGGATTTACTGGAAAGGATTCATCAAAGAAAGGGGTAAGTTTCCAAATGAATATAATCTTACAGGGAAAGGACCAAAGTACCAAAAGCAAGCACTACAGTATCAACTCCATCATTGATCAAATAAATGACTGGGTGATGGAGGAATTCATCAAAACTCAATTAAACTGATAAATTACAGAGAGCTTGGCCTTCACAGAAGAAAGGCACAAAAAATACGAGAACTCCATGGCTTCAAAAGTCGTAAAATATCAAAAGATTCCCGTAAATCTCGCTCAAGGCTTTCCAAGGAAGGACCATTAGACAGGAAAAGTATGGATAGAAGGAAATCGAAGTGCCAGACTAGGAACCAGCATTTGAAAACGTCTTACGGAGGGCATTTATCACACAAGGAGAAGAGTAAAAATACTACCTTGGCTCCTAAAAGAGCCAGTCGCAGGAGTAATTCTAAGGAAAATAAGCAACCTAATGGAATGTATATCTCAGACGGCAGAAGGGCTAGCTCAAAGAAAATGAAAAGAATTGGTAGCAACAAACACCTTAAAGTCTCTCTCAAAGACCTTGACTGTATGAAGAAACTTAAAGAAAAGATGACCAATAAAGGGAAGAAAGGGAATAAACATCCTAAGATGTATATTTCTGACCGCCCAGCTAAAAAGAAGTCTAAAAAGAGAAGAATGAAGCATAGCTCTTCTAGGAATTCATTTAATAGCTCAACTCGAGATCTAATAGAAAAACAGAGATCAGGCACTCAACTTGAAAACCACTACGTTGAATCCTTAAAAAGAGACTCTAGCAAATTAAAACTGAAAGGGTCTAAGAAGAAAAAGGAAGTTAGCAGAGGACCTTTTAACCAAAATTCAATGCAAAGTTTAAAGTCCAGCATAGTTCAGGCCTCAAAATTCCAAACTTTAAGGACCCCTGAATCAGGCTATAGCAGAGGTTTGCGATTTGAAGACTTAGATGCCGAACAAATAGCAGTGAAGGAAGATTATAAATTAGACACTGAAGAATCTCATCCTGACCTCTTTAGCTCAGGAGATGATGTGCTAGTCGGCAGCGGAACAAACTTTACCACAAGTGAGAGAAACCCAAACGAGACCACAGGAGAAACAACTCCTAGAGCACAAGATGATACTTATAAGGAAAGCTTGACATCTTTAGAAGGGTCTAATGACGGCTGAGGTCGAGAAAATAGAAGGTAAGTTTTATCTTAGATATCTTCTAGGAGTGTTGAGAATGAGCAAGATTGATCCTCAAATAATGATCATGGCTTAATAAACAATATCTCAATGATTAAAATGAATAATGAAATTAGCCAAGAAAGTGACTATCTAAAACTAAAAACTTCCATGAACGAAAGCCAGGGCGAACTTCTCGAAGAGTTCATCACTCCTGAAGTCTCCACTAAATCCTCTTACATCAGTACTTCTCTTCTAATCTCTAGACGCTCCTATGGTCGAAATCCCACCACAGCCATCCTTCCAAGCACCTCCCCTCGATTCTCATGAACCAGAACTCCCCTCAGACAGCTACTTCATCATGATCCTTCCTTCAAACACCCCATCTCCCACTGGCCCACTTTCCTCTACAGACCAAGCTCCCCCTTCAAATATTTCAAATTTCAAGCGTACCCCTAAAAATCCCCCACCTTCTTCTACATCGTGCCCAAAGCGTGAAGCCAGACTTCCCCTTATCCCTGTAAGCAAATCTCAAATTCTCTAAAAATCCTTAAGAAATCGCTTTAAAGTTTTCTTCCAAATCTTTCCTTGTACTCTAGTGATAGTAACTTTTTGTATAATAGTCTCTTCCTCGGCTAGTAGAACTTGGGCAAATTTTGTAAGCCAATAATTAGTTGTATGTATCTATTAAGTCATTTGGCTTAATTTTGGATGATTGAGTTGATTTAGAGTGTGGCTGCAGAATGAATTCTAGAAGTAGGATCTGAAGAAGAAGAGACAGATGAGGTGGGTGAGAAGAGTTGGAGTTGAGCAGAAGATATGGGGGATTGAGAATTAGAGTATTCTGTGTAATTGGAGAATTTGTTTTGGGCAAGTTTTGGGGTTTTGGGGTTTTGGGGTTTTGGGGTTTTGGGG